TGTTGTTAAAAAATATTTAAATAATTTTAAATTTTAACATGCATGATATCAATGATATATGAATAAAATTAATAACTAATATAAAAATTTAGTATAAATTATATTTACATAAACTAATAAATGAATTACAAAAAATTAAAGAGTTAGCCCCTAATTTAAATTTTCTAACTCCCATGTTGTTATCTTTGTAGAATGGAGTTTTTCAGCCAACTACCATCGTGATTCAATGATTATAATTCTTTTAAAAAGTGTAATGATATTTAAAAATTTTAAACTTAAATTTGATAATTTCATTATTCATCTAGTTCAAAAAAAAAAAAAAAAAAAAGGGGAGAATGGATCCTCTCAAATAAATAGCGACAATGAGAATGAACAAAACGCAGCTTCAGGAAAGCCAAAATCTGCAAGATTAGGGATTGCCTAACCTTTCAAACAATATGGAGTTCTTATATTGGGCCGGTTTGCCCATTAAGAGGCTATTGGAAACTGTTTTTTTATTTTTTTAGTACCTCAGAAATATTAGAAGCTCCTTAAAAAAACAGGGAGATAGGAAAATAAAAAAATAATAGATAAAATAATTAAGGGATAGTACCAATCAATTCTAATAAAAAAATTATAATAAAAAAATTATAATTCTAACTTTAAAAAGGCCTCCTCTTATAAATATTTTCCAAAACTACTCATAAGTGTTTAATTTAATATTTTATTAATATAAATAATATAAATTAATTTTTAAATTAATTAAATATATTTAATTAATTTTTATAACAATAAATTTAACATTGTTTAATATATATCAAAAAAAGATAATCTCTTTCATGTCTGTTGATGACTATTTAAAATTTTAAAATAAAATTAAATATAATAATGATGAAAAAATAAGAAGTTGCCTAAGGTGGGCTTATGGAAAGATTAAGGTCATTTGGAATACGTTTAGGAGTCACCTCACAATTGAACACGATTACATATTTAATTTTAACATTAAATATTTATTAAATTTTTTTGGTCAAAGTCATATCTAATATGTATGTAGGATGGCTGATAAAGAATATATATATTTATATATTTGCGCATGCATGTATGCGCGCAGGATGTCTGATTTGGGTGAGCCAATGGTTTTTTTAACTAAATATTTAATATTTATAAGTTATATTAAATTTTAATTAATTTATAATTAAATTATCTTTTATTTTATAAAAAAATACTTTCAATACTTATTTTTTTATTTATAAAATTTAAATTCGAATTTAAAATTTTATTTTAAGAAAATCTATTTTTTTTACTTAAATTAACAAATTATTAATAGTCGTATAGTTTATATCAGATTTGGGGATGGTGCTTTTGACATGCAACTGTGTGAAGGGAAATTCATGGCTACATAACAATGATAACTACCTTATGTTATGGAAAAAATTGATCATCTTCTGTCAAAAATGGTTCAAACCTTGGGAGAGAAAACTAGGTCAATACTCTCAAGTCCTTCAATCTTGATCCTTGGAGATTTAAATTGAGCTTTTTATATAGATGTTTTACATGTAACGCGGCATATGTTCCCAGACAAGGTCAGAAAGGAGAAACTCGAATCAAATTGCCCGAGTAGGTAAAGAAAGCAGTGTTACCTCTCTCAGAAGCAATGGTCGCAATCTGAGCAATGGGGAAGAATCTTTGCGCCGAAATGAGGTGTGGGATGAGCTTTTTTGGGCATGTAGATTTGAGACACCCACCCACGTTATCTTGGTGTGGCGTGTGGCTACTAGTCTCTGTACGATTGGATCAAGACCAATGAGTTTAAGCAATGAAAATTTCATTATTGCCTCTGCCCTGTCCGGCTATTATGCCTATTTGGTGGCTTTTGCTCCAAGGTTGATATGCACTAATGCTACCGTTTCTATGTTTATATTTGATCAAGTAATCAAGGAAGCCAGAGGTATTCCATTGAGCAGCGTTTTAGATAATGATATTTACCAAAAGCTTATGAATCAGCCGGATAGAGGAGGTCACAGAATCATTCAAAGGGGTGCAAGGCTTGCAAATGATCTGCAACAAATACAAAATCGTGAAAGGGATTTCTTATGGAAGGTCTTGGCGGATTTCTGGGCGGAGTACATGTTACTCCTATCTCCCTCTGGTGATCCAATGGCCCATGTAGAACACCTAGCCAAAGGAGGAGAGTTTGTGACTCACTTGTGGCTTTGCTCTCGCATGCAGGCATTCTCAACAATGGCTCAACTATGCAATTCTAAAAATGGTCCCTTTACTTTGTGTGTCACCATTTTTAATGTCATTGGACCACATGCGTCTCTGGAGTGAAAAAAACTAGCTGTGCTTTATAAGTTGTAATTAAACAAATGTGATGTATCAATTCATGGGTATATGTATGATATATAAATGAATATCTCCTGTAAAATTAATTACGAAGAAGTGATATGTGTTCAGACCAAATTATATATTAATATGGTCTCATAAGAACTGTTATAACTATAATCTTTTAGTAATTCCTTGGAAGTAATAACCTCAAAAATTCCTTACAAGTAATTGATAAGTACTAAATCATCACAGATTATTAGGCTATAAATATAGGATTCCATACCATTGAGATAAATATCTTCCAAGAATTAATGTTACCATGCTTCACCACATTATAAGCTCAATTAATCTAAATAAATAAATAAATAATTGAATTCATCACAGCAAAAGAAATTCAATACCTTCCCTAAGATGAATGTTGATAGTATGAAGAACGGTGCGATCGTCCAAAACTAGGAGCCCATTTGTGGATGGATCAAGAAGAGCCAACCTCCTATTTTCTACCTTAAGGCCATATCTTTCCCCCAGCCTTTTCTTCATGGCGAGCACGTTGTTGTCCGTATAAACTACTAGTCCATACCTTTCGAGTTCCGTCTTCACCCAAACTTGGAGCTTCAGCCTGAGAAAAACGGTACTGCCATCACGAACTTGGCAGATATTTTGCAATACGTTTTCATCTTCCAACCGGAGCGGCTGTGGTCCTAAGAACACATCTTGCTTGTCCACTGACAAACCTAAGTATGTCTCCATTTTCAGTTTGAGATCAAGAACAGTTGCAGTAACCGGTACCCGCACAGGCACGGTCAGATGACAATAGGCAACATAAATCTCCATGCTCTGCAAATTAAATAACCATGATTTTGAGTCTTAACACTACTAATTAATGAAAATAATAACAAGATTTTTTTTTCTTTTTAATTTAAAATGAAAGTTCATTCTTATCTCAAGATTTAAAATTAAATGATTTGTAAATTGTGATAAGATAAGACTGTAACATGAAGTATTATCTTTAAAAAAATTTATCTCTAATGATTTTGGATTAAATTATTAAATTGTTCCTCTACTTTTAAATATTAATCAATAAATCGAAAAAATAAAGTATCTTATTTATTTGCTCCAAACTTAAAAAGATTAGGTAGTGGTACGGTGGTACCAACGACATAAGTGGTTCCTTTTCAGTAAGAAATTATGGATAAATGGATAAGAGTGATCGAGTTGCTGTATATGTTGATAAGGTCTCAAATATTTACCCAATTTGCAATTAAGGTCTTAAATATTTTATTGTACTCAATTAAACTCGTAAATTCATCGTAATTTTCTAATATGATTCTAATTGAATGAAGACCATTAATTAGTTTTAAAAATGGATTGCACACCACCATCCACAATCTGCAGAGGCATTTCTCCTCCTTGCCCGAGCACTTACTTTCACCACTGAGGAAAAAGGTCTTGTCGTTGACAGCAGAGACATTTCACACTATGGCAGCTCCGACCATACATGACCAATTGGACACATTCGAACTTGAGGTGAGGATCTTATCATCTAGCTAGCTTCCAACTCTAGCACCTATGTATGGCAGCTCCCGCCTTAGTAACCTAAACTGGATGACCCAAAAAACAGTCTTCATTTGCATCTTGAGTTCAAGGGATGCTAGTTTATAGCTTTCGGTAATATACAAGTTGAAATTAAAAGGAGCAAAACTATAATAATATACAAGTAGTAATAGGATGGTGCGGTACTGCAGTCCCCCGTCCTATGATTTTCAATTTCTTTTTAATAGAAAAAAATAAAGAAAAGAAAAATATAAAGATATATGAAGAAAGAAACTCTTTTTTTTTTATTTTTTTTTATTTTACTGAATATACAATGTGCTTATTTATATGTATGTACAAAAGAATATTCTATGGTATAAAATCAATTAACTTAATTATATCAATCAATTATAATGTAACCCAATTAACATAATTATAATATGAATATTCTGTAACATCCCCTCCAACTCAAGGTGGTGATGAGGAAACTAGTTTGAGTTTAGAAAGAAGAGTGCGGAAGCATCCAAAAAAGTGAGTTTTTGTTGAAAAGATTTGCATACTGAATATGCAAATCGGTGTAATTGATGCCGCTAGAGGAGAAGGAAGCAATATTAGATTTGGGCAACAATAATGTCGAAAGTTCAATTGTAAGAAATCAAGAGCAAAATCAACAGCAATTGAATGCAAGAAGGTTGGAGCAACACTGGCCATGGGAGTAACACATATTGATGGCGCAACAAAGGAACAGGATCAAGAAAACCCAATTGCAAATAAGTCCAAGAAAGAAAGCAAAGATGATGATGATCGACACCACCTACAAGTAAAGCAGCAACTCACAAAGGAGATGAACAGTAATAGTAAAAAAAGCCTCAAGGCTTTGATATCATGATAGAAAAAATAAAGAGAAGAAAAATATAAAGATATATAAAGAAAGAAACTTTGTTTTTCTTGATTTTACTGAATATACAAGGTACTTATTTATAGGTCTATACAAGAGAATATTTTATGATACAAAATCAATTAACCTAATTATATCAATAAATTATAATGTAACCCAATCAATATAATTATAATATGAATATTCTATAACACTTTTAGTAGAGAGGATTTTGTTATTTACAAAATAATTTAGCTGTTCCAAATACAAAACACCAACATCTTTGTGTTTTCTTAGGAAAGTAAATTTGTCTTCTTTTTTAAAATCATAAAGGGAATACTACATGGATATATGTTAGATTCAATGCAAGTATATCAATAAGAAAACATAGCATTTGTTTTCTAAAATACATGACAGCTGATCTGAAATTTTGAAATGGATTTTTTCTTCTTGATATTCATTTATTGGATTACACAATTTTTTTATGTTGCTTAAGTTCATTAAATCAATGATAATTATCTTGGAATTTTGCTTCCTTTAAAAGCACTGGTTAGGCTGGCAAAAGTGTACTAAAACCTTGGCCATGACCAAGGTTCAAGTCACCACGGTACAAGCTTGTAAAATCTCCCTTCCTTCCCTTCCCCTAAAATTCCCCTATGTTCAGGAAAAAAAAAAAGGTGTTACACGCTTTCAATATGAACTTCTCAGCATATTAAAACCTTGAATCAGGGACTTGGGGCCCATGAATAAGAATCTTGGGCCTTAAGAGTCATGGACCTAAACAAAGCATATGCCGGCCCACGCCCAGCTTCCTAAGTCCAAACATCGAAGCCTGATTCTCTTGGGTAACAACATCTACAGACTACAAGGGATCTAATGGGAAATAAATTTTCATTGGTAGTAATGGTCCATCAATTTCCTTTGTTATTATTATTACTTTTTTGGATACAAGGGGAAGTGATCTTTGTCACCGGAGATGATCTAATAGCACGAGATCTACATACGCCAATTAAATCTTCACTTAAAACGTCATAAACTTGATCAGGCGGATCTTCAAAACAGTGAAAGTCGTTGCCCAGAAAAAGCCTGAAGCCATTACGTACATCTGCACAAACATTCCTTTCACGCGATACATGTTTAATCTCACATTGCCATTCTCTTCCCAAGAAAGATTTGCATTTGCATACTAAATATGATAAACCTGAGACCTTATTTCTTGTGGATGTGGGAGATAGCAGTTGTTCAAGATGCTACAGAGTGACGAACATGCTTTGCTTAGATGCAACTATGTAGCCAGTGTATGGAGAAGGTGCTTGGAATAGTGGGGTTTTGATAGCACCCAGCCAAACTCAATCCAGGACATGTTTAGATCACTTGTATAGTTGTATTAGGGATGGCTGAAGCAAAGAAAAAGAAAGTTTGGTCATTCATGTTTCTTGTTATTGCATGGTCCATATGGAACGCACGGAATAATTTGATTTTCAAGGAGGTTGACCTCTTAGCGAATAATTTGTTTGAAGTAATTCAAATGCAATCTTTTCTTTGGTTGAAGGTACGATGGTTTGGTTTTATTATTCTTTTTTGAGTGGTGCAGCAACCCAAGAGTTTGTGTAGGAGCAGCTACTTAGTGTCTTAAGTGCTTGAAGATGCAATGTTTTGAACAAGGAGGATTTTGATTTGTGAAGCAAATTTTGTAAACTTGATTCAGGACAAGAGTAACCCTTATACTCCAAAATAATAAAATTTAAAATTTTCTTGGTTGAACAAAACAGAAAAAAAAAAAAAAGGGGTAAACCTGAGACCTCCATGGAGTTATTACTTCTTGGCTTTCATAGCAACCATTAGCACGCAAGCAATTTGTTACTTAAAAAAAAAAAATATCACATCTGATTTTCTTAACCAAACTCTCATGGCTCGTGCTTGAATAGTTCAGTTATATATATATATATATATATATATATATTTACCGATATATATATTCAAATTGAAAATGCCAAAGTTGGCACAATTGAGGACGCAAGCAAGTTTGGTTACTAGGAATTTAACAGGGTCATGTTTGGGTAATATATACAGTGTTTTTACTATTGAATTTACCTGGTGCAGGTATTTTTCAACAAGGAAGGGGATTTCGGATTTAGGTTTCAGTCTCCAAAATATGAACCGGTGACACTTCTGGCTCGTGGAAGCTCATGAGTGTTCAGAGCTAACGACAGGCTATTCATGTCCACTCCTAGTATCACTGTCTTGCCCGACCCCTGATCCCATCAAACAACCCATCAGATGTTTGAAGAACCATAAAGAAAATAAATGTGTATAAAGCTATTATTGTCTGTCTTAAAGCTTCGAGTTTTTAAACTTGCGAAAAAAGGGGCAGAAAAATTAAAGAGAGCCGAGCTCGGTGAAATGAGCTTAACCATTTTTTTTTTTTTTTGGGTCCAACAGAGCAACTTCAAAAGCTTTTTTCCATTTTCTGACCGGAACGACAATTAGAGCCTTCGATGTACATGCTCTAACACTCTTATTTTGGGTGTGATCCAATGAAAAAGAAAACACCTTCATCAAATCAATACTCTTGCACTCTAGCTAGTGTGTGAATGCTTCATCATTTTTTTTTGGCAACTATTTCATCATCTTTGCCTGTTTCCAATTTTTTTTCTACTTATTCTGCGAAGGTAGTGAAATGATGAAGCCCCTTTGAATTAGTAATAAACTAGCTAATTGGCTAAAGCCATTCACTTCCTTTATACATTTGAAATTAATTAGGGACTAATTACAACCATTAAATTCGATACATATAGAAAAACAATGAAAGTAAAAACCTTCACCGATATGCTAGCTTTATGATTTTATTATTTTGGTTGAAATGAGTTTATTAGGCCTATGAAATCGGGCTAGATTTCATCAGAGCAAAGGCAGTTCTAGCACATTGAGGAGAGAAAATGACGTCCAATGTGACAGAAGCCCCACTAGGGATGGAAAATCCTATCGTGATGAGACTGGGACACATCAAAGTCTCCATGTTGGTGATGGCTTTCGCGACATTTGTTCTTTTGTCTCAGGATCTTCCAGGCGTCGAGGCTGCTGTGGGACTATTGGATTCATACAATGGTTAAGCTACACTTTAGTCTCCTCCCATCTGTTGACCTTTACCATTGGCTAGATGCAGGGTAAGATGTTCCGAGATGAATTGCTCTCTCTATGGGGAGGGTTTGTGCTCATAGTTTTTGGACAAGTTGATTCCTTTTCAGCATATAGTCCTGAAGACAATGAACAATGGAAAAGGTATAGTGGGATAATTTCTTTGCAGTCTTTTTCAGTGGCAGGCATGATTGGTTTATACACTGAAACAACAAAATACCGATCTTTGGCTCTTCCTATAGTGGTTTTCATGACTATTGAGGCTGACGAAAAAATTGCAGCTTTAAAAATGGCTGCTAGATCCTCCTTAGCAGAAAACACCAAGCTGATTTCAGCCTTCACGGCCAGTGAGCATCGAATATCCATTGTTGGCGAACCAGATCCGATTCAAATGAATGGGTTACAACTATTTCGTCACTGGAGATCGTTTAGAGATGTTCAAGGTGGCGCGACCACAATACCAGATTCAACTGAACGTCGCCAGAGACGAAGTTGTTACCCTCCATAAGATATGGCAGTGTCAAGGGAGGCTTCTAACAGGGGAAACAGGGCAGCAACTCAAGGACATTTGTTTTTCCTTTGCCCTGTTTAAGCTTCTTCTCCGGTGATTTGGTGGGCAACCCTTCTCGGAGAGCAGCCTTGACAAGACATGGAAGCTCGTTCGAAATGGTCTTCTCGAAAAAGAAGGGGACTATGAAAGAGCTTTAAGGGTCGTTGAGGTAGAACTCTGTTTCCTCTTTGATCTTTTCTACACCAAGTGCGCAGTCATCTTCAAGGAAGGCCAAGGACTCCGAAAACGTAAAATACTGAATACTCTATTTCTAGTCGGATTTGGAGTCTTTCTTACCGTAAAATTCCTGATACAATATAAGCCAAGCCCTCATGAACTTAATCTTATTACAACTGGTGGTGTTAACTTGGACAAGCGAGTTACAGTTATTCTTATTGTTGGAATTCTCTTCATGGCGATTGCACAATCCCTCTTTCTCATTATGTCAGATTGGGCAATGGTTCTTTTGATTTGTAACTATGTGAGGGGAATATATGATGGTAACTAGCTTATGTTGCTGCGACAAAGATGGTCTTCCTCAGTCATCGATGATTTAAACCTTGGGGGAGAAAAATTGGTCAATATTCTCTTCTTAAGTCCTTCCATCGTGACCCTCTCAGATATGAATTTAGGTATTTCTTATCGAATTGTGTAGATGGTGCTCCCAGACAAGGCCGGACAGGATGCAGTAAAATCGAATTGCTTGAGGAGGTAAAAAAAGCTGTGATACTTAATCTCAGGACAGTCAATGGTCGCAAACTGAGCAATGGGAAAAAATCTCTTCGGCAAAATAATCTACGGGATGAGTTGTTTTGGGCATGTAGGCTTGAGACACCCACCCATGTAATCCTGGTCTGGCACATAGCTACTAGTCTCTGTAAGATTGCAACAAGACCAAAGAGTTTGAGGAATGGAGATTTCGTTGTTGACACACGGTTGTCTGATTATTGTGCCTATTTGGTGGCATTTGGCCCAAGGTTGACATCGGACAGTGCCATTGATTCAGAGTTTATTTTCAATGAGGTTCTCAAGGATGCCAGAGGCATTTTGAAGGGCTGCCAATCAGATAGAGATAAGTATGAGAAAATTATGAACAAGCTGGGTGGATAAGAAACCATCATTCATGAGGGTGCAAAGCTTGTAAATGATCTGCAAAAATTACAAAATGAAAGTGATTTTATGTGGATGGTCTTGGCTGATTTTTGAGCGGAGCTCATGTTATTTGTAGCTCCCTCTGGTGATCCAAGAGCTCATGTAGAACATCTAGCCGAAGGAGGAGAGTTTGTGGCCCACTTGTGGGCCTTACTTTTGCTGGAAATTAGATCCTAGTTTTTAGCCATTATCTCTATAATTTAGGAAGTTTAAGTTGTTGATTTGTTTTTCCTATTATTTATGTTGTTATCATTTAAAATAGATTAGATAAGTTTGGTTTATTGGGTAGTTATCTTTTTAGATAAGATTATCTTGTAAAGCCTATTTAAAGGCTAGTTTATTTTCAATTTAGCATGATTTGGGTTTTCATTCCATCTTCTTCTTCTTGGGAATCCTTGATTTTTTAACATTTGGTATCAGAGCCTATTCCCGACAGATTCCATGGCTTCTAAAAATTATATCCAGCCTTCAATCCCTCATCTTGATGGTCATCACTACGACCATTGGAGTATGTTGATGGAGAATTTCCTTCGGTCCAAAGAGTATTGGATAGTTGTTGAAGTTGGAGTTCCAAAACCAACAGCAAGTGCAGATAATGCACAAATGGTAAAAATTAAGAAGGAAAAGTTGAAGGATCTCAAGGCTAAGAACTATTTATTCCAAGCCACTGATCGGGCTATCTTGGAAACAATTCTTAACAAGTCTACTCCCAAGACTATTTGAGATTCCATGAAGAAGAAGTACTAGGGGAATGAAAGAGCGAAGCGACAGTAGCACCAGGCTTTGCGGTAGAATTTGATAGTTTACAGATGTAGATTGGTAAATCTGTAGATGACTTTTTTTGAAGGACGATGGCAATTGCAAACAAGATGAGGATCCATGGTGAAAATCTGAAGGATGTTGCCATAGTTGAGAAAATCCTTCGATCCATGACAACAAAATTCAATTATGTTGTTTGTTCAATTGAAGAGTCGAATGATATTGAAGCACTTTCCCTTGATGAGTTGTAGAACTCGTTGTTAATTCATGAGCGAAAGATAAACTGCCAAGACAAAGAAGAGCAAGCAGTGTAAATTTCGTAGACACAAGCCTTGCAAACCACAGTTAATTCAAGGGTTGTAGGTCGAGGAAAAGGAAACTGGAAAGACAGATCAAGATCTGGCCGATCGAGATTTGACAGATTGGAGGAAAGTTTAGCCACTGGAAATTAGAAGAGGTGGCAGAACAAAAATTATCAAGCTATAGATAACAGATCCAAATTTACAAGAAAGGAAAATATTGAATGCTTCAAATGTCATAAGTATGGCCATTATCGTTCTGAGTGTTGTGCTAATCTAAATAGAGGAGAAAGTTCCAATTTTGTAGAACACAATGAGAAGAATGATGATTCCTCTCTATTCATGGTCTGTCATCCTAAAGAAGTTAGCAAGAAGAATGTGTGGTATCTAGATATTGACTGCAGCAACCACACGTGTGGAGACAAATCTGTGTTTTCAGATCTGGATGAGTTTTTTCAAGACAAGGTGAAATTTGGTGATAATTCCACTATTGTAGTCAAGCGAAGGGGAAAGGTAATCATTCGTGCCAAATACAATTCAATTCAGACTATTGTTAATGTTTTGTATGTGCCAGATTTGAAGTTAAATCTGCTTAGTCTGGGACAGCTTCAGAAGAAAGGATATGAAATCCTAATTAAAGATGGAGTTTGCCAAGTTTTTCATTCAACGCTTGGCTTGATTGCAAAGGTCAAGATGACAGGAAATAGGTTGTTCCCATTATACTTGTAGATCACAAATCTGTCATATTTATCTGCCAAATTGAAGGACACAACTTGGTTATGGCATTGTCGATATAGACATCTTTATTTTGGTGGGTTGAAAGCCTTGTATCAGAAGAAGATGGTAAATGGTCTTCCTCATTTTGATTCTCCTTCAAAAATTTGTGAAATCTGCATGGTCAGTAAGTAGCACCATGACAGTTTTCCTGAAGACAAATCTTGAAGAGTAAAGCGAGTGCTAGATTTGGTTCGTTCTAATCTGTGTGGACCCATAAATCCAACATCCAATGGAGGTAAACAATATTTTATTACCTTTGTTGATGATTACAGTTGCAAAACATGGGTGCATTTTTTGCAGACCAAGTCAGAAGCCTTAGTAGCCTTTAAAAATTTCAAAGTCTTGGTTGAGAATGAGGCTGGTAGATCTGTAAAGGTTCTGCATACAGATCATGGTGGTGAGTTTAACTTAAAGGAATTTATAGATTTTGTGAGTCCAATGGCATTAAAAGATAACTCACAGCAGCATATACACCTCAGCAGAATGGTGTATGTGAGAAGAGGAATCGCACAATCATGAATAGGGTGTAAAGTCTGTTGTCAAAGAGTGGCTTGCCTAAGGAGTTTTGGCCAGAAGTTGTTAATTGGAGTGTTTATATCTTGAATAGAAGTCCCACATCTCCATTTCTAGATATGATGCTAGAAGAGGCTTGGAGTGGACGCAGACTTGCTGTTGACTACTTCATTATTTTTGGGTGCATAGCATATGCACATGTGCTAGATCAAAAAAGGAGTAAGCTTGATGACAAAGAGGAAAAGTGTATTTTCCTTGGTGTTAGTGATCAGTCCAAAACTTACAGATTATACAATCCTTTAACCAAGAAGGTCATCATTAGCTATGATGTAGTGTTTGATAAAGTAAGCACTTGGTATTGGACAAAAAAATCTAGGCAACAGATTCTTGCAGATTTTGAAAATTTTTTGTCGCCCAGTTTTTTAAAATAGAGAAGATCTGACCATGCAGAACTTAGAAGGTCAAACACAGTAGACTAGAGGTTTAACTTCAGCTGATCTCGAAGTTTCGAGATAGAGAGCTGAAGAAAGTCTGCTTGTAGTAGTAGAACTTAGTACTAGAGGAAGTTTGCCAACAACACCAGAACTGGAATCTGAAACTAGTTCATGACTTCAACGCAAAAAGAGAAGACCAGCATGGTTGGAGGATTATGAGATAACGGATCTACCTCAAGATGATGTTCCAGTTACTTATTTTGCTCTATTTGCATATTGTGATCCTTTAACATATGAAGAGGCTGTTAAAAAAGAAAAGTGGCAAAAAGCCATGGCAAAAGAAATTGGTTCTATTGAAAGGAACTAGACTTGGGAGTTGACAGATCTTCCAGAATGGCACAAGACTAATGGTGTTAAGTGGATCTACAAGACAAAGCTCAAAGAGAATGGGAAGGTTGACAAATTCAAAGCTCGCTTAGTGGCAAAGGGTTACAAGCAAGAGTTTGGCACTGATTATCAAGAAGTTTTTGCTCCAGTTGTAAGGATGGACACCATCAGATTGGTGATTGCATTGGCAGCACAAAACTCATGGTCGATCTACCAGCACAAGACTATTGCTTGTAACCCTTTGCCACAAAGCTCGCTTAGTGGCAAAGGGTTACAAGTAAGAGTTTGGCATTGATTATCAAGAAGTTTTTGCTCCAGTTGTAAGGATGGACACCATCAGATTGATGATTGCATTGGCAACACAAAACTCATGGTCAATCTACCAGCTTGATGTGAAATTGGCCTTCTTGCATGGAAATCTACAAGAACAGGTATTTATTGATCAACCTCCTGGTTATGTGAAATTTGGTTTTGAGTATAAGGTTTACAGATTGAAGAAAGTATTATATGGACTAAAACAAGCACCTAGAGCTTGGTATAGTCGAATTGATGTTTATTTCTTGAAGGAAGGCTTTAAAAAGTGCCCTTATGAGCATACACTTTACATCAAATTTAGAGATTGAGGTAAATTGATCATAGTATGCTTATATGTTGATGATTTAATTATACTAGGAATGATTTTGGCATGTTGGAAAAGCTCAAGCAGTCCATAAAACTTGAATTTAATATGACAAATATGGGTTTGTTGCATTATTTTCTTGGTCTGGAAGTAGTACAGTCAAATTTTGGAATCTTTGTTTGTCAGAAAAAATATATGCAAAAGTTCTAGACAGATTTCAAATGAAGAACTGCAATTTTGTTACTACACCAGTTGACAAAGGTGTAAAGCTCATGAAAGACCCAGGAGGTAGATCTGTGGACAGCAAACTATATAAGCAGATTGTTGGAAGTATAATGTATCTAACAGCAACAAGACCAGACATAATGCATGGTGTAAGTCTGATTAGCAGATATATGGAGCATCCAAAGGAGTTGCGCTTGTAGACTGCTAAAAGAATTCTTAGGTATTTACGTGGAATTGAAGATTTTGAACTATTCTACAAGAAGGGTGACCAGACAGATCTTGCAGGTTTTACGGACAGTGATTATGTTGGAGGTTCGGATGACAAAAAAAACACTTTTGGGTATGTTTTTATGTTGGGATCTAGGGTAGTTCTGTGGTCTTCAAAGAAACAGTCCATTGTGACTTTGTCCACAACAGAAGCAGAGTATGTAGTAGCGACTTCTTGTGCTTGTCAAGCTATTTGGTTGAGAAGAGTTCTAGAAGAAGTTGAGATCAATCAACATGAGGTCACTTCAATTTATTGTGATAACAGTTTAGCTATCAAGCTTTCTAAAAGTCCAGTTCTGCATGGGAGAAGCAAGCATATACATGTGAGGTATTATTTCTTACGCAGCTTGGTAGATGGAACAATTGAGTTGACTTATTGCAGAACAGAAGATCAAGTGGTTGATATATTCACAAAACCTCTCAAAGAAGCAACTTTTTCAAGATTGAGAGAGTTACTTGGTGTTTGCAACATACATAATTTAGTTTGGGGAGGGTCTGCAGATTCCAAATTGCAGACATGGTGTTTTTCATATTTCTTTAAATTGAAGTCTGAAGACTTTCAGTTTAAGGCAGGGATTGTTGGAAATTAGATCCTAGTTTTTAGCCATTATCTCTATAATTTAGCAAGTTTAAGTGGTTGATTTGTTTTTCCTATTATTTATGTTGTTATCATTTAAAATAAATTAGATAAGTTCAGTTTATTGGGTAGTTATTTTTCTAGATAAAATTATCTTGTAAAACCTATTTAAATGTTAGTTTATTTTCAATTTAACATGGTTTGGATTTTCATTCCATCTTCTTCTTATCAGTAATCCTTGATTTTTTAACAACTTTCTCACGTGGGCATTCTCAATAATGGCTCAACCTTTCTAGATGTCTGAAAGGTCTTGTCACTTTGTGTGTGTGTACCTTTTTTTTTTTTTTCCAAGGTTATAATTGGCTATCTAAAACAGTGCATCATGTCTCTCAACTCCAGTTCAGTTGAAGAACATATGTAAGATGTCGTTTTAGAATAAGGTGCACCGATGTAATGTCTGTAAAATTTTGGGGTGTTTGATCATTTTGTCCTCGGCTTGGTATGCCTTACAAGGAATGTAATCATTTTCAATGGATCTTCATGGGATGAGAACAAAGTGTTTGATAGTATCCAATCAAAGTCCTTAAATCCGTCTTCAACTTTAGTGACTGGTGTATGTTCCAAAGTTATCAATATTGTACTGGTGTGCATATCAATTTTGCTACTAAAACAGTATATACCGAATACCAGAATTTTTACTTTACCTTTATTTTAAAAAGATAATTATAACATATATTAAATAAGAAGACTTATTAAAATAATTATTAATTAAAATAATTATTAAATCCTATCATTTAATTATTACATTTTTATTTTATTAGATAAAAAAATTAGACCTCTTAAAATTAAACAGAAAAAGTAAATAATTAAAGTAGATAGTACTTATAAATTTACATTTATTTCTTATAAGTATAATAATTTATTCTCCTTAGATCTATTTTACAAAAAGGACCAAGAGAAAGAACTTATGTAAGTTGTGCAAAAAAAGGTTGATTTGCAACTATGCAATGAGTTGAGGGATTGATTTGTGTCTATTTTTAGTTAAGGGGTTAATTTACCATCATTCATTGAGTATAGGGGTTGATTTGCCACCATTCACTGAGTATAGGGGTTGATTTGCCACGATTCATTGAGTAAAGGGGCTGATTTGCCTTTTTACCTTCTTTTTTTTTTTTTTTAAATTTGAATTGCGCTTATTCAATTTTGATGTACGGGTCGGTATACCAAATTTGACCAAAAAGTCAAATATTTGACCAAGACAAAATTCAAATTCATATCGTTTCGGTCAACTTACAAAACTGGTACATAGCTATCATACCAACCAATATGAAATGGTATGAACAATTATGGTATGTTTCCACTGAAAAAAGTTGCATAGTTGAACTGAAATATTCAGTGTCTTTTTTATATCTTTTGGGTGGTAATAATTTAGTAAACAATAATTGATATACCATTCAATTTAAAGTATTTCATAATATATTTATTAAAAAATTATTATTTTTAAATTTAAATGGTTAAATACCCTTTTTGGTCCTTCTACTATAGGAAAAAGCCTTTTTTTGGTCCCTGTACCGAAAAAATCCCATTTTTGGTCCTTACTATTCACAAATCCGGCCCCTTTTTAGTCTTTCCGTTAAGTTTTGGCTGATGTGGCATGTTAATTAACGGAAAAACTCATCTTGTTTTTTTATTAAATTACGTGGAAAATCCATCTAGCAAAAAAATGATGACATGGTTAAATTTTTTACTTTTAATTACTGATTTGCCCTCAAAGATTGATGACATGGTAAATTTTTTTCCTTTAATTACTAATTTACCCTCTTCTTTCTTCCCCATCCTCTCCTTCCTCCGGCCTTTTCTTTTTTTTCTTTTTCTCCTTTTACCTCTAGGCGAACCCAGGAGTCTGGGTTCACGAGGAACCCAACTCGCGGGTTCGCACCCAGGAGCTTGGGTTCCTCTCGAACCCAGCTTGTGGGTTCGCACCCAAGAGCCTGGGTTCGCGAGGTGCGAATCCACGAGCTGGGTTCGTGAGGAACCCAACTCGCGAGTTCGCAACCAGGAGCTTGGGTTCGCACCCAGGAGCCTTGGCTACAAGGCCGACCTCCTCACTGCTGCCAATTACAACAACCTCTGCCAGTGCGAGACCCTCGATGACATCAAGATGCACCTTTCCGCTACTGAATACGGGCCTTATCTCCAGAATGGTGCGTTTCAGTTTCTTCATATCTATTAATTTTATTGACACTGTTCGGAGTTTTGATATACAATTTGAAGTCAAGTGCACGATCGTGAATTGAGTATTGAGCTGAGTGTGATGAGGTTGAATGGCGTTTAATTATAGCAGGAGAGAGTTCTGCCTGATGTAATTCGATGTTTTGTGTTTTTTTTTGGATATGTAATGCCTTATTTGTTCGTTGTGGCTGCCTTTTAGGTTTTGCGAACCCAGGCTCTTGGGTTTGCCTGGAGGTAAAAGAAAAAAAAGAAAAAAAAAA